CTGTGAACTCTGAAGCCTCCAGCCTACTTCCAACTCTCCCACCACCCTGTTCCTCAGGAGAAACACATGTTACACGTTTAGGTGATGCCTTGGAACAGACAGAGACACACTCACACATGCATGCAAACATGTATAGACACACTATACACACACGTATGTACACACATGTATTCACACACACGTATACCCCCCACGTATACACACACGTAAACACACATATACAATGTATACATATACATACACAATTCAACACATGTAGGTATATACACACATATACATGTGTACTCATGCAGTTACACACATACACACAAATATATTCATAGACACACAAACAAATGATATTAAGTAAATGAATATCTACGAGAAAAAAGAATTCTAATGTCTAACTAGTAGTAGCACTACAACAAACTAAGGGTTGAAAAAAAATAAAAATAATGGATCAAAGGAAGGACAGAGAAGATGGAGCTAAGATGGCAATTCATGCGGTTCCCTGTCTGATCCCATTAGCTTAAGGTAGAGAAGAGGAGTCTTAGGAGTGCCCAAGGTGATCTCTTAGTGGGTAAGAGCTCTGACTGGTCTTTCAAAGCACCTGAATTCAATTCCCAGCATCCACAAAGCAGCTAACAACTCTCTGTAACTCTAGTTTCAGAGGATCTCATGTCTTCTTCTCTCCTCCTTGTTTATTATATACACATAACACATAAGCATACATGTAGGTGAAAAAATAAATGCAAAATAAAAATAAAGCAATCTTTAAAAATAAATTTTATAGATGTAAACATTTATAAATACCAAAAACTTTGTTGACCATTTAATGCTCTGTCTTGTCCTTCTCATTAAGGTAGGGTGGAATTGTACAGGGATTAGGGTACATTTCATAAAATAATGGGTCAGTGTTAGAAGGGAATCTAAATACGATTTGGCCTGTTCCTTCTACCTTTTCAAAAGTTATTTTTAGTTTTAAACAGAAGTCAAAAGATGCCATCAAAATCCCCTGGAGAACTGGAGAGTTTCAGGTAGTTGTGAGCTACCATGTGGATACTGGAAACTGGCCCAGGTCCTCTGCAAGAGCAGCAAATGCTTTTAACTTCTGAACCATCTCTCCAGTCCCATGTTTCTCACTTATTTCTGTAAGTGGATAACAGTAAAAAAGCTTCCTGTCAGTACCAACTAGATTTATCTATGTCCTGTGACCAAAGTGGGTAGTGTCTTCAGCAATGAATGAAGCTAGAAAACATTAAATTGTGTCAGGTAACCCAGATCCAGGAAGAACAACGTGGCATGCTCCCATTCATATGTGGATCTTGGTGTCAAATCTTTATGATAATGTGGTTAAGTTGTCGTATGTGTAGAATCCAGGAAACTGAAAAGGGACCATTGGTGGAGAAGGCAAAGAAAGAGCTTGGGATCAGGACACACTAGATCATAGATGATATGAAAGGAAGGACAGGGAGGGAGGTTTAGGTGGAGATATGGGTAGAAGGGTGGACAGAGGAGGGCGGGAGGGAAGAGATAACTAATATAAAGAATATTTGGAAAAGCCATATGGAAACCTACTGGTTTGTAAGTTTCCTCACAGAAGTCAAAAGTTGGCGAATAAAAATCCCAGTGACAGATGTAGGATGCTTCTTAAGTTGTTGGTCTGGGGTGATGCTGGAAAAAACACAGGTTATTACAATTGCTCCTTTGGCCTGCAAGAACTTTATAAAGAGACCCTATTTATGAAGTCTGACTATAATGACATCTAGTCACAGTGCATGTGGAGAGATGACATGCTTAGCTAATTGGATGGATAATGTGAAAGGTGTATATATATTATATATTACATAATAGGTATATATGTTATATATTACTGTGGAAGGTGTATATGTATGTATAAATGTGTGACATATATATACATATATGTATGTGTATGTATATATTGCTTGTTGTGGCAGATGGCAGATCTTTCTTGGCCTCAGAATTATGCAAAACTAGGTAGGGGGAAGTTTTTAAGTAGCATGCAGACTTGGAATCTGCAAACAGATAGCAGATTCCTCTGTATGTGTGATGATATTCTTTATCAAGAAAGCAGATAGTTCTTGACAGGTTGATTAAAAGAAAAGCCCTTGGTGAGTTCATAAATATAGCTCTAAATTCAGTTTTCAACAGCTTAAAAAATTGTCAGCACTAGAAGCAAACTCTGTAACTTATGAGTGAGAGAGAGAAGGAGGGAGAGGGAGAGGGAGAGAGAGAGATTATAATCTTCCTACTCATCCACTTTTACTCAACTGTTGCATATCATGGCTGTCCTTGCATTGGAGCAGAACTTGGCATACAGAGACACACTGTAGTATGAGCAAAATGTGCTGGGCTCTAGGTAGCTGCCTGGACAGCACCATCCCATTGTTTCCCCCTCTATACTGCCTGCGGCCATACATATTCCTAGTGAATTTTAAGAGTGTGGTAGTGCAGACCCTTACCCAGTGCCATTTGTAAGAATTTGACAAGATGCTTCTGTCCTCTTGACCAGGTATATTGAAGGGTCGCTGCTGTGCTGTTATTGTGCCCAGGATAACCTGATCTCTTAGATAGTAACACAACTTGGAGGTTATTGATACACAGACAGACACATTGGCCTTTTCTGGAAGGAGTTTGCAAGTTCACACCCCTGGCAGGCAGAAGCCCTGCTCCCTCTCTTCTACATACCCTCCTTTCTCCTCCTTCCCCAGAAAAGGCGTGTGGAACTGAGATGGTGACGGGTTGGCTGCTGAGCGCGGTGTCCCTCTGGTTCACCTTTTCTCACTTGAGTCTTAAAGCTATGCCCATAATTAGCACAAGTTTCTGGATGCTTCTTTTCTTACAATGGGCACCCTCAAGTAAAAAGACCTCTGGGGAGCCCAACAGGACTAGGACGTTCCCATCATCATTGCCTCCCGGCTGAGGCTCCAGAAGAATCCATGAAAATATGTGTCCCTATTGCACATGTGCACACGTTTCAGGAACACTTAGGTATTAATGCACAGCCCTGTAGCCATATGGTTAGATCAAAGCCCTGGGTAGTGTTTGAGTCATATAACACTGATGAACCTGGTCGGTGCCAGAGTCATTATGAATCTCACCTTAATAGATTTTTTTTTGGAAAAAAAAATAATAATCCCCTTGACAACTCTCCTTTTGTTGATTCTCACCTCTGACTATGTCATTACCTGTGAGGCTTCCAGAGTTCCACACTGCAGATGCATGGTGGGAATTGTGTAATCTCTCTCCATCTTTACTTAGTTCTGCCTTTAGTTCTATGTATGGGTCCCATATTAAACTCACCATCTAGAGACTGCTTTAGGTTTATTATACTGATCAGCCAATGAAGGAGAAGCATCTTCTAGTGCGGGGACAAACAGGTAGTGGAGGACCCACTGAAGGCTGTCAGTCATAGGGAGAATGGCATAAAAAGTACAACAGAGAGAATGCTGCTGTTATAATAAGGACAGGTAAATACCTTGGGGTGTACCTCTCAAGGAAAAGAAATCATTGGAGGTGCATTTGATACGGAGTGAGTGGAAGAAAAAGAATAACATGTTGACCCCAGTAAATTAGTTAGACTCTGGAAACACCAAAAATTCTATTACCTGTCTGACTTTGTACTAAAAGTAGTTTTAAGATGTAACTTATGAGCCCAAGAGATCAATGCTCCATGAATCAATGCATTTGTCACAAAGCCTAATGACCTGAATTCCATCCCTGGGATTCACACAGTGGAAGGACATAACTGACTCCTAGAAGTTGTCCTGTGACTTCTACATGTGTACACACCTCAGCCCCCAACACATGCACATACACACACACATACACACGCACACAGACACACACACATGCTGGCATGCATACACTAAATAAATGTAATTAAAAACCAACAAAAAATATAAGTTTTGTAAAGAATGAGAATCTTTAAAAATAATGCCACTAAAACATGATTCTGTATCATAACATGACACAAAATATGGACCATGAATTAAAAATAAGCAGGATTTGGGTGTGGTCAACAATGTGGAATCCTGACCAGAACGGAGCAGAGAGAAGTCTCTTCACTCTGCTTAGTGAAAGATAGTTGCTCCATATGGAGAAATTCAGTGTTTAAATAAAAACCTCACAGTATTAACTTGGTTACCATTATAACTTATATTGAAGTCAGTTATGTAAGAATTTAAATATAGTTGTTATTCCAAAGTACGGTTTTGACCATTCTCACAAATATTTCCACTGGCTTCCTGAAGCACTGAAATCAGCATTGATTCAGCTCCTCACTGAAATCACTTTCCCTCCGATCTAGGTAGCTTCCTCGGGTGTAGCAGCTGCAACTCTAGTAGACTCAGTACAAAACCAACTTCTCCGTTAATTTCCTTCCCAGTTTTATTTTACGCTGGTGCTGTTTCCGTCATAGATATTTTAAAATGGGAAATAAACTGGGTAATTATTTACTTGGAGACATGCTTCCCTTAGCTCTGGGAGGACAGGCTCTGCTTGTCCCAGTGATGTTTGAAACCAGGCAGTGCTGGATGCTTAATAGGCCGCAGCTTTCCTCTTTGTTCTTCCTTCAGTTTTCAGCAACCTCTGTAGACTTTTTGCCCTCTATTTTTTTTTTTATGAAGTCAAGAACTTTTACCTTTTCCTACAAGAAAACTATGTAAGTTTTGGGAATGAGTATTTAAAGAAAAAGCCCAAGGGTTATTTGAATACACACACTGTAGTACCCGACACCCGAGAAGGTTACTAGGTGACCTACTAAAGGACAGGTAGTATGTACTGTAGGATGCATGGACAAGGGGCGGGGCATTCGTGGTCTAGGCAGGACAGAGAAGGATGGTTGTGAGGCTTCACTACACTGCTCAGAACGGCATTGGCTTTAAAACTTACACATTGCTTATTTCTGAAATTTGTCTTTTAATGGTTTCAGTCTATCTTGCACCACAGCTAATACATGACAGGAAAGGAAACCACGGTGGAAAGGGGACTGCTATATTTACACATCTCAGCGTGCTAACAACACTCAGAGGTGAGCTGCGTAGATTATTGCACTAACACTCAAGGAAAATTACCTTCGACTGTGATGTTTCTATTTTCACAGGTCACAGTTGATGTAGTACATCACATCTTAAACACATGTAGAATTTTTATGCACCAGCTAAAAAGGTAAGTTTTTAAGGAATGGGGGAAAAATGAATGTGGTGGCATGTCAACTGTCGCCTGTCATTCTTAGTCACACAATCCCAGATATTTTTCTAGAAGTAGGGGAATAATCTAAGGTGAGAAAAAAAATCAAATATGGAAAGTGTTATTACAAAAGAGAAATTATTTTTAAATGCTGCAATTGTTTGAGAATCTCATCCAATATATTTTCGCCATACTTACCCATTTCCCAACCCCTCCCTTGTCTACCCCTCCCCACCCTCAACTTCCTACTCATACTTTAAGATTTCTTCTTTTCCCCATGTTGACTCTAAAGTTTACTTTGTGTTGCCTAAGTAGTCTTGGGAATGACTGCCCTTGTGGCTGACCTACTAAGAGTCACATCATTTCAAAAGCAAAAAAAGAAAGAAAGAAAGAAAGAGAGGAGGAAGAGAAGAGAAGAGAAGAAGGAGAAAAAGAAGGAGAAGAAAGAGAAGAAGAGGAGGAGGAGAAGGAGGAGGAGGAGGAGGAGGAGGAGGAGGAGGAGGAGAAGAAGAAGAAGAAGAAGAAGAAGAAGAAGAAGAAGAAGAAGAANAGGAGGAGGAGGAGGAGGAGGAGGAGGAGGAGAAGAAGAAGAAGAAGAAGAAGAAGAAGAAGAAGAAGAAGAAGAAGAAGAAGAAGAAGAAGAAGAAGAAGAAGAAGAAGAAGAAGAAGCAGAAGAAGCAGCAGCAGCAGCGACTCTCTCTACAAGAAAATCCCAAGTCATCTTGGAGATGTTTTGTAATGTAGATGAGGTCAGGGAGCACTGTAGCTTAACAAAGCACTCAAAGGTGACAGCTAAGCATCTTTTTTTTTTTTTTTTTTTGTAGAGACAGAGTCTTGTACTTCTCTTGGATTATCTTGAATCCTGTACTCAAGCGCCACTTTACTTCAGCTTCTCAGGCAGCTGGGAGTACATATGTGCTCTCCGGCTCTGTTCTCATTTGCTGTGTCTAAACCATAATTCTAATAGAAACCACTGTTACCTATAGAAGACATAGAGGTCATGGAAAATTACCATCATCTACTTACTAATGAGCCATAAAACTGGGCTGTTCAAACCATAGCTGTCATTTACAGTTGAATAAACTAACAGAAGTTATCCTGGAAAAAGAACGTCTAGAAATGACCTGGTACCAATGACAGATCAACTAGAAGACATCAGGCCCAACCTAATCATTGAGGAAAGAGGCAGAAACCCCTGATTAGTAAATAGGCTCTCACCAGATGCCCAAACTTTCTCCATCACAAGCACAATTATACCAGCGGGAGAAAGGAGAACATGCCACTGTTGGCTGGGTACTGAATGCCGGGCACATCTCTTCACGTTTCACTACCAACCCCGTTACACACATGTGGAACTTCAGGCTGTGGAAGGTAAAGATATTTGCCTAGGATCAGCGATACAAGCAGTCTGAAATATGAGCGTAGGCCCGGCTGGATTTTTACTGAATGTACACACCTTGTCGCACCAAGGGATTGAGGCACCACTTTTTTGTGAGGTTTTTTTTTTATTCATTTATTAAGGATTTCTGTCTCTTCCCCACCACCGCCTCCCATTTCCCTCCCCCAATCAAGTCCCCCTCCCTCATCAGCCCAAAGAGCCATCAGGGTTCCCTGCCCTGTGGGAAGTCCGAGGACCACCCACCTCCATCCAGGTCTAGTAAGGTGAGCATCCAAACTGCCTAGGCTCCCACAAAGCCAATACGTGCAGTAGGATCAAAAGCCCATTGCCATTGTTCTTGAGTTCTCAGTAGTCCTCATTGTCCACTATGTTCAGCGAGTCCGGTTTTATCCTGGGCTTTTTCAGACCCAGGCGAGCTGGCCTTGGTGATTTCCCGATAGAACATCCCCATTGTCTCAGTGTGTAGGTGCACCCCTCCTGGTCCTGAGTTCCTTGTTTGTGCTCTCTCTCCTTCTGCTCCTGATTTGGACCTTGAAGCACCACTTTTTGTTATATCAACGCAAAGCAACACTTTAGATTTGTACGCAGATATACATTACAGTAAATAACTACCTCAAGTACTATGCTTTTTTTCTCTTTAACCCATGTGCGTCTTATCATTTATCTTTTCATGTCAATGTTTATGTGTCTGGCTTTCCTAAGTGAATTATTCAAATAAATTAATTCTTTACACTTGGCAATTCTGGTCTGCTTCTCCAGGAGACGATACATAGAAAATCCTTTTATAATTAGGTCACTCTTACTCTGGGGATTTCCAGGAGTCTCACCTTTTGATTAAGTCGGTAGTCTAGCTCTGCTTTTGAAATTTATTTTTACCTATAGGCACAGTGACCAGTCTTCTGACAATGTACTCAAGGAGAATGCGGTGCAAGCTGTGTGTAGCCTGCATAGCTCGTGTCACATATAAATGACCGCTTTCTAGGAAAATTGGTTTCCCTAGATATTATTATATATCTAAATTAAGAGTTAATTTAGTTTACAGTCCACCAAATCTAACGCTTCTGTGTTTGGTAAATGCTCTTTCTAACTAGTCTACTACACCACCTGTTAACAGGTCCTAAGCAGGATAGCCAGACTCAATCCCAAAAAGATCATTTTTAATTTGTAGCCTCATAGCCTCCCTGATGAGCACGGACTCTGCGCTTTTCTTTCCCCCTCAAGCCGTTTCCATTTTGCAAACACCAGTTATGGCTCAAGCCCAAGGTTTCAGAGGAATGAGGTCACCAAATATCACTTGCCAGATCTCTCCAGCGAAGGACAATAACGAAGAACCTCATGGAAAATCTCCCACAAAGCCAAAGTAGAATTTGTGTTAATGAGGCAGAAGTGTTGGTTACCTCGATGCTATCTCTCAAAGGCGGCATAGTTACTGTCACTGCCCTGGCCAACCCCTTCTTCTTCTTCAAGCTCTCCTGCACAGACCCAGAGATTCCAAGTCTAGATCTGACCTCATTTTCAAGAACTTTCTTTCTTACTTACTTACTTTTTTTTTTTTTAAACAAGCACAGCAGCCAGTGCCAGTCCTGAAAACTAAGGCAGAAGGACATTAGGGACAATCTAGCCTTTCTGGAGGATGATATGAAAACAAGCTATCGTCTCATGTCAGCCACATTTATTATAATGCACTGCATTAGTAGAGATGGATTTCAGGAAACAAAAACCCTTGAACTAGGAGAACACTTGGCAGATATGTGATTTCAGTTCACTTTACTTCTCTTTGCTTTTCCTCCTTTGTTGCTAAAAACTGAAAAACCATTAATAACCATATCTGCCCAACTTCAGACACATGGAAGTATTCCATAAACAGAACAAATTATTGTTTAGTGGTAAACCAGATAAAACCTTTAACATAAGCAAAAACCATAGCAATGGATTAAATAGCAATAAGAATTACAGAATAAGCCAAACCAACCTTCCTGAGGTGTTTGAATCAGTGAGGAGTGCTAAGCAGGTGATTTTTTTTTTACACATCTGAACAGACATAACTCTCAAGAAATTATGTCCTTCACGGAAACTGTGAGCATGTTAGTCTTGGCAAAGCCTGAGTAATATTTTTGGACCTCTGAAAGGGCCCTTTCATTTTAATTCCCATGAAAAGCTTTATTTTTATATACTGTATTAGAGAAATCCATACAGGAAAAACCTGAGGACCATCACGCCCCTCATTATGTTTTATGCATCACAGGGGTTCACCCAGATGTCCCCTTGTCTGAGATCGTTATGATCTCAGAATGTAAATGAGCCTTTCGGTCTTCATGCATTGAACATTCATCTCACACTTAGTAATTTTATAAGCTCATGCTTAGGCAGGGCATTAACAATTTGACATGTATACCTGCGAGCAGGTTCTAGGCAAAGAAATCTGTCTCCTGTAGCAATGTACCTCCTTGAGTCAGACTCCCTCTAGCTCCTCTCTACTTGTAGAAATCATAAGTCTTATAGAACGTAATGACTCTTCGAAGCTATAGCAGCAGTGACCTATTAAGATTCTGAATGTTGTTATCTTTCTCTAAGAACTGGTTGAATCATGAGGTTTGTGGATAAACTCGAAAGAGCTTCTGTTCGGTTGTTTTTTTTTTTTCAGAGAGGGTCTCATAATGTAGCTTTGGCTGGCCTTGCCTAAAACTCATTATATAGACCAGGCTGGTCCCATGCTCACAGAGATCTGCCTGCTTCAGCCTCCAGAACACTGGGATTAAAGAATGAAGGAGCTACCACTGAAGGTAGACAAAAGCATCTCAAAGTACAAGGTAGTCCATACAATGTTGGACAGGCGACCCACATCAAAATTTCAGGAGACAGTGGTAGCTCTTTCATTCATAATAGGAGAAACAATGTTTGGAAGGTTGAAGGATTAAAAAGTACAAAAGACTGAGACCCAGAGCTGTCTGAATATGGTGGTATCACAAGCCACCTGCTCCCTGTGAAAATTGCCTTCGAGTGGTCTTGCTAAATGAAGTCTCTCTCACAGTAGGAGACTGTCAAGGCTCCAATTAGCAAATCCCTCTACCACAAAGTTAATTATGTGGATCTTGAAAATGGTGGAAAAACTCATTCCTAGGAAATGAAGAATCGATCAGGCATTAGCCACCCCGGGTGCAAAGAAGGATTGGGAACCATCATATGAAGTGGCCACATGTGATTATCGTTGATAAATAACTTCAAGGAAATTTTTAGAAAGCAGTAAAAGATTATAGAAGATACTTCGATGTTTATTCCTCTTAAAATAACCCTTAAACTCTTAGGCACAGTAAGGGAACATATAAAAATCTATTTCAGATATTAAGTAAAGGGAAGAATAAATACAAGAATCTCTCCTTTGTCAACATCAGAAATTTATGATTGATGTAGTAATAAAAACTATGTTGGTCATATCTTCGTCCAGCAAAAGATGCCTGATCTATATCAAAGATATTGAACTATTACAAAACTAAGCACAAGCATGAAAAATAAAGAAAGATCATAGATGTCAAGGTCTTTTTAAAATTGAGCCATTGAGTCTAGCAACCCAGGATCTTTA